CAGCAGCAGCAGCAGCAGCAGCAGCAGCAGCAGCAGCAGCAGGCCCCACATGCTGCGAGTTTCTGCCACTGCATAAGCTCGGAGAGGAGATCCTGGCGCTGCATTTCTGTCTCCTTTAGGTCTCTGCTGCAGTCAAGCAGCAGCTGCTCCTGCTGCTTCTGCTGCTGCTGCAGCTGCTCGTGGTGCTGCAGCTGCTCCTGTCGTCTTGCTGCCTCCACCAGCTGCTGCTGCAGCTCCTCCTTCTCTCGCTGCAGACTCTGCATGCACCAGCAGCAGCAGCAGCAGCAGCAGCAGCAGCGGATGGACTGCAGCAGCAAGACCAAAGCCTCAGCAACTGCAGCAACAGTAGCAGCGGCAGCAGTAGCAGTAGCAGTAGAGGAGCTGCAGCAAGCCAGCAGCAAAAGCAGCAGCAGCAGCAGCAGCAGCAGCAACAGCAGCAGCAGCAACAGCAAAAACTGCAGCAAAGAACCCACAGCGTTGGCCTCTTGAAGCCGCTCCAGGCACTTCCGTTCGTTTATTCCCTGCAGCAGCAGCAGCAGCAGCAGCAGCAGCAGCAGCAGTAGCAGCAGCAGCAGCAGCAGCAGCAGCAGCAGTAGCAGTAGCAACAACAACAGCAGTAGCAACAACAATAGCAGTAGCAGCAACAGCAGCAGAAGTAGCAGCAGCAGCAGCAGTAGCAGCACCAGAGAGACAAAGAAAGAAAAAGGGAGACAGAAAGAGACAAAGAGAGATAGATAAAGAGAGAAAGAAAGAGACAAAGAGAGACAGAAAGAGAGACAGAAAGAGACAAAGAGATAGAAAAGGAGACAAAGAGAGACAGAAAGAGACAAAAGGAGACAAAGAGAGACAGAAAAAGAGACAAAGAGAGAGAAAAGGAGACAAAGAGAGAAAGAGAAAAAGAGAGAAAGAAAGAGACAAAGAGAGACAGAAAGAGACAAAGAGAGACAGAAAGAAAGAGAGAGACAAAGAGAGATAAAAGGAGGCATAGAGAGACAAAAAAGAGACAAAGAGAGACAGAAAGAGACAAAGAGAGACAGAAGGAGACAAAAAGAGACAAAGAGAGACAGAAAAAGAGACAATGAGAGAGAAAGAAAGACAGAAAGAGACAAAGAGAGAAAGAAAGAGACAAAGAGACAGAGAGAAAGAGAAACAGAAAGAAACAAAGAGAGAGAAGAGACAAAGAGATATAAAAAAAGAAACAAAGAGAGACAGAAAGAAAGAGAGACAGAAAGAGACAAAAGGAGACAAAGAGAAAAAGAGAAAGAGAGACAGAAAGAGACAAAAGGAGACAGAAGGAAACAAAAGGAGACAAAAGGAGACAAAGAGG